CCAACATTTGTTGTTGCTAGTTGTTTGAAGATGTGCCATTCTCACTGGGGTGAGGTGGTATCTCATTGTGGTTTTAATTTGCATCTCCTTTATGACAAGTGATGTTGAACATTTTTTCATATGCTTGTTGGCCATCTGCATTTCCTCTTTGGGGAAGTGTCTTTTTAGCTTTCCTACCCATTTTTTGATGGGGTTGTTTACTTTATTTTTGTTGAGCTTCATCAGTTCTCCATATATCTTTGTGTTGGATTCTTAACTTCTGTAGCATCAATTATCATTTTTTCTGGTGATTTTCAGATATGTATCTCTACACTTGGCGTCTACCTTTAATTATAGCCTCATTCTTCTATTTCCAGCTGTGACCAGAACCTGCCCACTTCAGAATCTTGTTATTCAAGCTCAGTGCATTAAAACAAAACATCCTTCTCCCTCCAGCCACTCCTTCTCTGGTAGTGTTGCCACTGTTCCTCTATTATCCACACCTCAAACCTTGAATCATTTATAACTTTCTTTCTTTGTATCCTGGACTTCTATCAATTTTCATCTTGTTTTCTTTCCATTTAGAACCTTTTGCTTCATGCCTAAATTACTCCAGTAACTTTTTAGCAATCTTTTATCTTGTCTTGCCAACCCCTGACTGTAATGTGTGTACTGATGTTAACCTCTCTTCCTGAGATGTGTTTATCTTGTTACCATGCTTCTTTCTAGCTCACTGAATCAAACTCTGACTGATCTCCAAATTTTTGTGTAATTTTGTCCTATTTCCACTTGTTAGATTTTACATACATTTATTCCCTTTTAAGTCAGCCAGAAATGTGCCATGCTTATTCTAAAATGTGCAAACTTTCAGTCAACTACCAAATTAGTTAATAATTATCTAAATTTACCCTGTGTTCCTACAGCTCTTTATTTACCAGTCTTATCTCAGAAATCAGCATTGTCCCTGCAAATGCTGTTTCAGAATTCCTTATTTATTTTTGAAGTAACCCCTCAGCTAATCCTCTTACCTTCTGTAAAACAAATTAAATCATGTGATTTTCCTCCATAATAAATATCCTTTGGTGCCTCCCCATTACTTTGAAGGCAGAAAATTCCTTAGTATGTCAAGACTTTTCTTTAACTCCTGGCAACCCTCACCAGGCTCAACTTTTCTTACATCTTCTTTCATACATTATATTTCAGACTCACCAAATTATACATGATTCTCTGAATATACTATCCTTTTCACTCTTCCATCCTTTTCTTCCTATTCATTGTACTCCTTTTGAAAAGGGCTTGGCAGTATCATGACAGGTGACAGACTGATGGAAAATTTTGTAATGGGTAGATTGGCTAGAAGTATCAGAGTCTACTGAACAATGCTAACTTAAAAAGAAGATAGATTGTATGTGCTTCCTAATCTGATCGCCAGCAAGAAGTATGCCATAGTACCTGTGAGGAATTCTAAAACCAATTGAATCTAACCAACCATGGGGTCTAATTACTAGTTTACTAGACACACAGGCACACTTTAAGGATGCAACTGGAATGTAATCAGCAAAACTGAGCCTTTGGGAAACTGTAGCACACAAATACCCAGTGTCTACAAGTGACTGACAAAAGAGTAAAAGAGGTGAAGTGATAGATTACAAGAAACTCAAGAGACATATTAACCAAATGTATTCATGAACTTTATGTGGATCATGATTCAAAACAAAACTATAAAAATGTTTTGAAATGGTGGGGAAATTTGAGCACTGAGTATTAGATTATATGAATTATATGATTTTCTTGGGGTGATAATGGTTTTATGTGCTCAAAAGGAAGAGTCCTTATGTTAGGCATATGTATGAAGTTTTTGCAGATGAAAATTTAAGTGCCAGGTTTCATAATCCTGCATGCACATAGGGGCAGAACTGAGTAGGTGGGGTGTTGACAAGATGACTGGCCATGAGTAAATAGTAATTGAAGCTGGATGATGGATTCAAGGAGGTTTATTATACTTTAACTTTATTCTTGTGTATCAAGAAATTTCCATAACACAGCATTAGAAAATAAGATGATTGCGTATAAAACTTGCTTCTTCTGAATATATTCCCTGGCTGACTCCTGCTCAGCTCCAGATCAAGCTAGATGGTCCTCTTCTAAATTGCCAGAGTGCTACTGATACTTCTGTTAGTTATTTCGTTGTATTTGTTGTCTTTACTCTCTCACATGACTTATAGCTTCTTGACAAACATGTTACTAAATTCTTGATTACACTTCAGTTACCATCATAAATATATTTGCTTTCATAAATTTGTTACTATTTTGTGGCATCTATACATCACTTTAATTTGTTTTCTTTTAGGTTGCATAGCAGTAGGAAAATCCCTGAATAGCCGAAATTTTAGCAAGCTCTTGCACTCTTGCCCATACCAATGTGATCGTCACAAAGTCATTGTGGAAGCTGAAGACAGATATAAAAGTGAACTAAGGAAATCACTTATTTTTAACAAAAGTAATTAATTCAGCAGCTTTAAAACTGTAATTATGACTATATCATCTTAACAATGATCTAGAGAATTAAGTATATTAAAAGCATGAGGATAAAATACTGTTGAAAAAAAATCTGTCTCTGAGCAACCAGTCACTTAAGATGTATCCAGGGAGTAGAATTAGTCTCTGGTGGTTTAGAAATTCTTCCTAATCTACCTAAGGGGAGAAATAGGAAATAGCCTATAATGGAATTGATGTGTTGTTACTTTGATTGACATTTTAAGTATGGTAAATGTTTTCCATATTTTTCAGAAATTCTGCTGACCCCACGTAGAAGACGACTCAGTAATGTATCTACTACTTCTGGAAGAATAAGTGAATATATTTAATTTTTAAATAAACCTAAAATTTCATAAATTCCTGAGAACAAGAACAGCCAGTTGTTCTCAGTTTCATTAATGGCTCTGATGTGGTATCCCTTGGCACTGACCATGGTCATATGTCTTAAGAGGCTGCCTTCTTCCTTTCCTCATGTTGCTTGCTCACCTACTGATCGTCAGCTGGGGAAGAAGTGGAGGAAACTAACATTTGTTAAGCAACTACAGTGTGTTAAGTGGTTTACAGATATTATTTCCTTTAACTTTTATATATTGTATTCCTATTTAGGGCATAATAAGTGGCAAAGTGTAGATTCACCTGCAAGCCTGTCTTTCTCCAGAAGCCTCTGCTCTGCCCTCTGGGTCACATTTCTGTCTAACAGAATTATTTCCCTATATACAAGTGTTTCAGAGAGATTATGTAGGTTTTGTCTCATAACAATAGCACCTCAAAAATCCAAAAGGAAGAGAAAGTTTAAACCTAAAGTCCTGCTTAAAAATCAAAATACTTAAGTGAATTAATTTATAAGACTTAAAAAACTTAATTACATGATTAATATTTTAGGTTTCTTACCATTCCAAAATTTTCAGACTTAACCATTTCCTGTTATTCATATGAAATGAGTACCTTCAGAGTAACAATGAGCAGTTAACTGTCAAAGTAACCTAGAAATTGGTAACATCTATAGTGCCTTCTATATTTATTGCAAAGACTTTTAGACTGAGTACAACCAGGAAACATTTTGCCGCATACTTTTGGGCCATTTTCACTGCCAAAACTTTGAAAGAAATTTCACATTTATTTTTATGTCTGGATTTTTGCACTAGTTTATAAATTGTGCAAGAAAATTAAAGTTGGTAAAGTACCATTATAGGTTAGTCAACCCACTTTTTGAAGTAATCTTTTCTATAGAAATTGTTAGAAATGAATTTTTCCATTGAAAATGAAAATCTTAGAAATCTTGCTTTTGGTAAGAAGTTGGCATCAATACATTTTTTAAATGATGTATCTTAAAGATAAATACATAACAATTAAAAATAACATGAAATAACATAATTTACATGGATTATGTAGAGGTATCCTAAATCTTGTTAAGTGACCGGGAGCTCATATTTTTGTAAATTAAATTGCTTTGTGAAAAAAAATAGTAACCTGCCTTTCTCTTTTAGAATTTAGAAAGGTATATTGAGGAGGTAGTGATTAGATTGGTTTTATTTCTCTTTCAGAAGTTGGCCAGGAATATTTATTATATGCCCCTCCCCCCCTGATAAATTTCCCTTTGGTATTAGAGTCATTGTTCACCATTCACTTGATTTAAGTTACATTCAAATTTGAGAGCATTCTTTTGAGCATCTAAGCATTTAAGAACCTTGAGGACAAGGTTCTCTTTTTGGACAGATAGGTATCTTGAGAAAGCTTGGAAAATAGTTTCCAGAGCCTCCGTGTCTATTTTTGCCAAATCTTTCCTAACCTAGTGAATATTAAGAGGAGCACTAAAGAAATAACAGAGGGAGGGTCTTGTGTAGAAAGCAGCTTCCTACTGAGCTGCCCAGGGCTCTGCTGAGGTAACATTTGAGGAATTAGTTGGGCACAGGTGTTAGGTGTAGACATCAGTGAGATGGCAGCAGTATCGGAAGAGGAGTGTTAGCTTTATGTAAAGAAATACAGGATCCTACTATCCTGAATGTTGTAACTCATTCAAATCTCGATTGATTATAATAAATTCAAATGATTTAGCGGTCATATTAACAACTTTCTTGGATAACCAGCATTCTAGTAGACCCAAAAGTAAAGAGTAACTTTGTTGAAAAATTCTGAAAGGCTTTTTTTTAGTCAATTACTTTTTTTCCTTTAACAAGTATTTTTTGATCACCTACCATGTGTCAGGCACTGTTTTAGGCACTGGTAATACAGTGTGGTGAGCAAAACAAACACCAACCCTGTCTTTATGAGGAGCTTGCGTTCTAAGTGATGTAGTAGATAATAATCAGATATTTTCATTGATTTCTCAGCCTTCTGCTGTTAAGATTTCTGTTTTAGAGATCTGAACTGTTGTTCCTACCCTAGGAGAGGTGAATAAATGACTAAAAATTTACAAGGACAAGATTTTCTAGATCCTACTACAGTAAATAAGCAAATAAGTGGAAATACAAGAAACTTATCAGCATCTACTGTCTAATAACCTAAATTAACAATATAGAAACTTTAAATGATTCCTTGTATTCAACACCAGAAAATGTAATGCTTACAGAGAACAAGTACATATTCTTTCTGTTGTAGAAAACATCTCTAAAAACCAGAGCTAAAAACTACTTTTCCATTGTACTTTTTTTAGTTTGACTCATACTGAGCACCCCTATAATGAACATGTTTTTTTTTTTTTAAAGATTTATTTATTTATGCATACAGAACTGGGGTACAGGCCAGAGGCTCAGGGCTGGTGAGATGATTTACCAGAGACAGAGTGGAGAGAAGAACAGGCAGATCAATGAAGTACACTGCTGAGGGGAGCAGCGGGCTGGTCAGGAGAGATCTGCTGCATCATGTGGGTCACCTCCATGGCCTGGGATTGAACTTATGCTGAAGTGGCTTTAGCTTCTTAGTGTTGTGCTTTGACCCACTGTGCCACCAGGGAGAGCCTATGAACATGTTTTTTAAAGTGATTTTTGAAAACCATGTTCACTTAATCTTTAAAACTATCAAACCTGATGTTTTAACAAGTTCATATTCTTTTCTGCTCTATGAAGTTATGGAGCCTTTTGCAAACACTGTTTCTGTAGGATAAGTAAGCTATGAATTGTCCTTGCCGGAATGCCGAGAACAATCAGGTGTTCTTAAACGTTTGTATTTCATGATTGAAAGACGCTGCAAGTAACATCACATATAGTAGGATTAAATTATATTTACTGACGTCACAATAACAGATTTTAGTACTCAGTTTTTAAAAATTGAAGAGGACTTATATATGATGAGTAACCTACACATGAAATTTTCTTACTATATTAGTCCCTAGCTTTAGAATAATTCCAGCACTCATTTGGGTCTCAAGAAGATTTCCCCCCACCCCCCCCTTTTGGGGCACATACTAATCAACAATTTTCATTAATTACAGAGAAAAGGAGAATTCGTAAAAACTTTACTAAAGAAGAAATAAATTACCTTTTCAGTGGAGTTAAGAAAATGGGAAATCATTGGAATTCAATTTTGTGGTCTTTCCCCTTTCAGCAAGGACGGAAGGCTGTGGATCTTGCTCACAAATATCATAAACTGATCAAGCACCCCAAGTATGTGGCTCCCCGATTGGGAAAAAAAACATCAATTTTTTGTACTTAGATTAGCCTTGAATATAAAAAAATTGGAAATATCTTAAACTATGAGACAAGGAATACAGAATGGGGACTGTGTAATTAAATTGTTTCTGTGATGCTATCACTCATCAAATTATTAAAATTCATAGAGCAAAGACTTTTTCAGTGTGCAGATGAGTAAACAAAATTTCTTCATGACTTTAAATATATGCTTTAGGATAATGCTTTAATACTTATATGCTCAAAGAACATAAATAGGGGAAGAAATTATCAGCCTTTAAACATCATTTAACATATCACAGTGAATAGTATGCAAGACTTTAATATTTTTACCCCATGAAAGTTCCTTGCCAGAAGTTGGAAAGAATAGTTTGCCAAGCTGTTCAAAATAGGTTCCCACACACTAAGGCAGTGTGACATTTTGTTAATTAAAATGTTTCCTCTTACTGTGTACAGTTGATCTGAATACTCCTGAACTCTATGGTTCAGGTTCAGTTCTTTATGGAGTATCTTTCTTTGCTTGTTCTTAAAGTTTTAAGTAATTTTAGTATTTTTTTCTAGTTTTTCAATCAAATTTTTAGTGAAAAGATTGTTTCTAAGTTAGTTTTATGTTGGTAAACCAAACTATTGACATTAGAGCTCAGTTTGCTATCTTTCTTATTCTTTTCCTTTGTGATTTCCAAAAGTACCAATTGAAGCCTCCATTATACTTAAGATGCTGTTGCCATGGCAAGTGTCAGGGCCTGAAAGCTCAGCTTGTGCTTATAGTCCCACTGGCTCATGGTTTTGTGCCATGGTAGTAGATTTCCTACACTCCCAAAGGGTATTTCCCTACAAGTATATGTTCTTTGACCTTCTCAAATGACTATTTCTACCTAAAGAAGAATTTTTATTAAATTGTCCACATTCCAGTCCACAGTGAAAGTCCCAGAGGATCAGTACGCTGAACATTTTCTATTTAAGTTCTAATTTAGCCCCGTAGGCAAAAGAATCACAAGTAGGAAAATTTCTTGCAACAGTTGAAGTGTAGATGAATCTAATTCATTATCTCTCTGTATTTATTAATATTAAGTACTGTGTGGATGATTAGATAGTCTGCTGGGCTATTTTGACTTCTACTTAAGATTTAGGAAAGTTTTTTTTTTTTTTAAGATGTATTTATTTATTTGTGCATACAGAACTGGGGTACAGGCTAAAGGCTCGGGGGCGGTGAGAGGATTCACCAGAGACAGAGTGGGGAGCAGAATAGGCAGATCGACATAGTACACTGCTGAGGGGAGCAGCAGGCGGGTCAGGAGAGGTCTGCTGCGCCATGTGGATCACCTCCGGGGCAGGTGGGGATAGAACTCATACCAAAGTGACTTTCGTTTCTTAGTGCTGTGCTTTAACCCGCTGCATCACCAGGGAGCGCCTGGAAAGTTGTAAGTCAAAGGGTGAAACATTTTGTCTGTTGTCATTGTTCAGATATGATTTAAAGACATTATGCCACTGGGAGTGGATCTTAGGTGAATTATTTATTGACAGAAACATCAAATACTGTTTATAGAAGTATCCACAAGTGGATGGCATACTTAACTTAGATACTCTGTCTTATCACTTGTATATTTAAAATAACCTATTCTGCTTTTGGTTACTTACTATTAGCTCTTCCATCTCCCCATCCTCCATGGAGATATGTAGTAATAAATGACACATCAAAAGGAAAGGTGAAGGCTGATAACATATTAGATTTTGAAAATCAGACCGACCAATGGGAAATAAAAATATGATTTCAATAATGACAGACCCTTGGAATCAGAAGTTACCTCTGCTTAGTTTCCTATAGGGGTCTAAACTGCTGTACAACAGTTGATGCTAGTGACTGTAATTTTGCCTATATCCTCAGAAATCTGGACCTTACTATTTCCCAAGGTGATAGTTCATGATCTTCCTTATGCTAAAATGAAATGGACCTTTCCTGAGTCCCTTCTGCAGAACCATGAAAGGTGAATCCCTTTTTCATATGCCAGTCCTTGAAAGATCACTTTCTCCTCTTTTTCCCTTTCCATCCTTTATCTCTCATGCTGATGAGCCCATTACTTCAAACTTTAATATGAGTACTGATGACTACTGATACCTCAGTTTATAAACTGTCAGAAATGTGACAACAAACAGTAATCTCAGATTCTTTCCAATGAGGTTTAATAGACTTTACAAAGATCCTCGTGGCATTCTATGTGACCAACTATATTATAACTAATATAGTTAAGACTTTTAAAGTATATACTTTGCATTCTTTTCTTGTTCTTAGGCATTTGTTTTCAACCCAACTACAAATTTAAGTTTCATCTTGTTAGATATAATCTACACTCATTTGACATATAATATGTGAGGCATTTCCTGATTTAGGTGATAGACAACAATGAGTATGCTGCTTTATTCTTATCCAAGTTACTAAAGGCACCCTGAATTGTCTGTGGTACCCTGAATTGTCTGCTCAGGGTGGGAAGTTGGGTCAGGCCCCTAGCAGTCTCCAGTGGGTCTGGTCTTTTACAAAGCCTCAATGTTAGCATCCTGCCTGCATTTCACTTAATCTTGTCTGTGATGTGACTTACCAAATGCCCCTCTGAAAATCTGCATTTCTGTGCCTTCAGTCTCTGCCAACCTGGTATTCTAAAAGAGAAAAACACCATGTATTCTTTCTTTTCCAAGTGGTCACATTAGGCAGTTTCACCCGGGGCTGACTGAAATTCACTGACCTATAGTTTTTGGCTCTATCTTAGGTCCTATGAAAATTCAGACAGGGGTTGTCCCTTTTAAGATTGGCAACAATTTGCTCTTCCCAGATTTTCAGATGTATAATTTAGTGGATTTTTATACCCTTTGTCTTGCATTCAGGTTGGCAGATAGGTGCCCATTTGGTAGCTGCATTCATATTGCCCAAATTTTGGCAATGCCAAACATCCTATTCACCTGAAACTCATGTAGGTGGTTACTTTTCTGCTGTATCTCACTTCCTTCTGATATTTAGAAATATGCGGATCTGTTTCCAGGGAGGATAGCCAGAGTTCTCAGACTGAGGCTACACCTAAAGTTAAGGTTAATAGGGTGTGTGAATGGGAGGTGAGTGGGGTGGGTGGAGGGGGGGTAGAATTGTTACAGGGCAGGGAGAGGGGCACCCCTAAACCCCCAAACATGCTCACTCTAAATGGGTTCTGCCATCTGCTGCATCAAGACAAAACACAGAAGACCTTTAATGGAAAGGAACTTGACTACAATTAGTGTGCAATACTAAAAGAATATAGTTTCTAAATCAAACACCCAAAGTTACCCATTCCCTTGTAGGTAAAAGTACCCAAAAGGGTCCGGCCCAAAGCAAAGCGCGAAAGCCCTCCACAAGTCTAAAGCACATTCCAGCGGGGACCCATGGGAAAGGGTCAGAAATGTCCAGACAAGTCTGGGAAGAAAAGAGTGAAATCAAAATCAAGATAAACACTGCCATAGTCACCTCCCCACGGGTCTCTCACCCACGTCTCTTTCACCCAGTCCAGGGCCAAGGAACATGAGCTGCTGCTTCACATGTCTCTGCTGCATGTACCTCCCCAGGTCACCTTCCGGCTCCATCCTGTTTCCATCCTCTTCAGTCTCAGGTCTGGATTCTCCGCTCAGTTCAGCTCCACCCTGCTCCTGGGTGGGGCAGGGAACCTGGAGCCTCCCTTTTTCCTGGAGACCACCCGGTTACAGAAAAATTCTTCCCCCTTTCATATCTCTTCCATTTTCTTTCCACTTTTTCTCCCTGAAGAAAGGAAACCTATTTCTAATGTCAATTGAGGTCTATAAAAACCTTTTAGTAAAGTCAAGTCCACTGCAGTGGCGATCACTTCCTCAATTCTTCAGAGGGTCAAAGAGGAGGAGAAAGAGGGGTACTTACGAGGATCCGTAAGTCTAAGACTTGTATTTCAATGCGACGTTTTTTAGTTTTGAACCAACAGGACTGGAAGAAACGAAGTATCCTTTGTAATTTTGTGATTTAGGACAAGTTTCTCACTTCCTGCGCTTTAAATTCCTCATCTGTAAAGGGGTTGAGTAAAACTCTGATTCTGTGTGGCTTGCTCACGGCGAGTGCTAGACGGATGGCGCTACCGTGTCCGTCTCATTCCAAAGCTTACATTTAGGGGGTGAGTCGTTTTGGCTGCCTCTGGTCCCCGACAGTTCAACGCGAGCGGCTGCGGGGCGGGGGACGCCGGACTAGGCGCCACCGCGCCTTTCGGCCAGCAGGGGCCGCCAGCGCGCCCTCCGTCCGGGCGGCTCG